CCTAATCCTAGAGTTTTAGCCACATGTGGCTGTGTACCCTGCCCATCCCTCTTGTCTCATCCCCCTCATCATTTTCATATTAAAATGTTTGCAAAGGTTCAGTTTCATGTTCCTCAAAAGCAGCCTGTATGTTCACCTTGGGTCTTGTGACTCTGGCATGCAGCTCTCAGGCATCAGTGCCTGGCCCAAATCACACAGAGGGAGATTTATGAGTACTCACCATGTACTTAATGCTGGGCTCGCCCTCTGAGGGTATGGCAGATAACTGTCACATAGTGAAGCAAGTTTGAATTTCACAGGCCATTGTTTTCCTTTGACTGGGTTTAACTTCCATCTTGAGTTCTCACTCTGTCTGAACTGGACACTTAATCTAGGCATTTCCAGGCAAACTCTAAAGCCAGTCCCTTAGAGATTCTTATCCCCCTTCCTGTGCCCTGAGATTGCACTTCAGGGACTTGTAATGTGGACCTGTGGCTTCAGTGGAGGCGTGTCCACACCTCCAGCTTGATTTATGCTTGAGACCTGGACCACAGTTCGTTGTCCAATCATGTCCTTGATTGTGGCCAGGCCTGATTCTTGCAGGCAGCACTCCTCGTTCTGTGACTGCAGCTTCTGAATTCACAGGCTCCCTCAGCTCCCAGGGTCCACATGTGATCCCATCAAGGCCCTCACCCCTCTCTGAGACTGAGAGACCACTGGGCTCACTGTGTCTCACAGTCACCCTCATACCACTGTCAGCCTGTGGGAAGACCACTGGCTGCTGGGGTCCAGGGGTCTTTCCTCAAGGCTGCCTGAGCAACCCAGGCAACCACCTTTTCTGCTCCACTCAGCCCTCAGAGGCCCAGGAAAGGCCCTGGGCTCTGCCAGTATGCACCACTTTAGTGATCGCCCACATTCCAAACCATGTAGCCTCCTAGGACTTTCCTGCGAAGCCAGCCCACTGCAGTGGGCTCTCTTGCCCTTTCTGCAAATTCTCTCACCTCTCTTCTCAGCTTCCTTAGCTAGTTTGGATTGGGGCTGAAACCACTAGGTCTGGCTACTCATGTGCCCTTTCCAACTCTGTCTTACACCTAGAAGGCAGCATCTTTAAATCTTAAAGGTCATGAATTTTATCCATTATTATTTGCCCACTCTCTCATAAAAATGGACAAAAAGCGAGGGTTGATGGACTTATAGGATAAAAGTTAGAGGGTCCCAAAAACACAATGATTAACATGTGATGATATAGTATTATCTGGCCAAAATAGGATTCATGATATGTTTATTAACTAACTGGAAAGAGAAGATACATAGCCTCAAAAAGTAAATAATAATGTTTTATAACAGCTGACAAAAATAAAAGAGAATATTTCGCAAGATAGAACATATTTGTTAATGGAAAATTATTATAGACGTTAAATAATAGTAAAAATATGTAGCAAAAACAGATTCCATAGTATCCCATAGTACGGATATATCACATTTTGTCCATTCACCAGTCAGTGGGCTTTTGGGTTGTTTCCACTTTTTGACTATTAAATTGTTGCTAATGAACATTTGTGTATAAGTTTTGGGTTAGACATATGTTTTCATTTCTCTTGGGTAGATACTCAGAAGTAGAATTTGCTTGGGTATATGGTAAATTTAGCCTTAACATTTTAAGAAACTGCCACACTGTTTTCCAAAATGGTTGTACCTTTTACAATCTCATCAACAATGTACAAGTATTAGTTTCTGCATATCATTGTAAGTCTTTTTGGTTGTAGCTATTTCAGTTGGTGTTAAGTGGTATTACATTGTGTTTTCAATATCCATTTCCCTAATGACTACTCATGTTGAACATTTTTTATGTAATTAGTAGTCTATTTGTACATCTTCTTTGGAGAAATATCTATTCAAATCTTTGCCCATTTTGTAATTGGGTTGGTGGGTTGTCTTCCCATTATTGAGTTATAGAGGGTTTTTGTTTGTTTTTTATTTTTTAGAATTCTTTATATGCTCTGGACGTAAGTTCCTTATCAGATATAATTTGCAAATATTTTTCTCAGTCTGTGGCTTATCTTTTTATTTTTCTTAATGGTGTCTTTTTTATAATAGTTTTATTGGCATATAATTCACCTGCCATACAATTCATTATTTTAAAGTATAAAATTCAATGGTTTTTAATATATTCACAGAGCTGTGCAACCATTATCATAATCAATTTTTCAACACTTCACCCCCAATAAGAAACCCTGTACCCATTAGCAGTCTCTCATCCTTCCCAAAACCCCCATCCCATCCCCAGATAACCACCAATCTACTTTCTGTCTCTATGGTTTTTCCTATTCTGGACATCTTGTATAAATGGATCCATAGAATACGTGGTCTTTCGTGCCTGGCTTCTTTCAGTTAGCAAAATGTTTTCAAGGTTCATCCATGTCGTAGCATGTATCAGAAAGTATTTCAGAAATGAAATACTTCATTTCTTTTTATTGCCAAATAATATTCCATTGTATGACTATACCACATTTTATTTCAATCATTGATCAGTTGATGGACATTTGAGTTGCTTCCACTTTTTGGCTATGTTGAATAATGCTGATATGAACATTTGGGTACCGATTTTTGTGTGGATATATGTTTTCAGTTCTCACAGGTATATACCAAGGAGTGGAATTGCTGGGTATTACAGCACTCAATGTTAAACCTTTTGAGGAACTGCCAGGCTGTTTTTACATTTCTACTAGCAGTATATGAGGGTCCCAATTTCTGCACTTCTTGCCAGTATTTATTATCTGTCTTTTTTATTACAGCCATCCTAGTGGGTATGAAGTGGTGTCTCATAGTTTTGATTTTCATTTCCCTAACACATAATAATGTTAAGCATCTTTTCATGTCCTTATTGGACATTTATATATCTTCTACCTTCTTTGGAGAAATGTCTATTCTGACCCTTTGCCCATTTATAAATTAGATTATTTGTCCTTTTATTATTGAGTTATAAGGGTTCTTTATATATTCTAGATACAGGTTCCTTATCAGATATATAAGTTGCAAAAATTTCCTCCCTTTCTCTGGGTTGTCTTTTCACATTCTTGGTGATATCCTTTGAAGCGCAAAAGTTTTGCTTTTGATGATGTTCAATTTATCTAGTTTTTCTTTTATAGGTTGTGCTTTTGGTGTCATACGTAAAAAGCCCTTGCCTAATCCAAGGTTGTAAAGCTTTCCCCCATGTTTTCTTCTAAGCATCTTGTAGTTTCAGCTCTTACATTTAGGTTGTTAATCCATTTTGACTTAATTTATTCATATGTTATTTAATGATGTCTTTTGAAGAGCAAAGTTTTTAATTTTGATGAAAGCCAGTTTATTAATTTTTTCTCTTACATATCATAGTTTTAGAGTCATAGCTAAGAAATCTTTGCCTAACCCAGGGTCACAAAGATTTTTCTTATGCTTTCTTTGAGAAGTTTTATAGTTTTAGCTCTTAGCATTACTATGATCTATTTTGAGTTAGTTTTTATATACGACATGATGTAAGGGTCTAAGTTCTTATTTATTTGTATCATAGAAAGATCTCAGAAAGTATGCTAAGTGATGATAAAAGCAAATTGCAAGATGATTTGTTCAGTATAATACCATTCATGCAAAATTTAAAAGCATGAAATATATATTATTCATAGTTATATACGTACACTTAGGTAAAAAGTTTTCTACCAAAATCTTTGATAATAGTTGCCTCTGAATAGATAAGAGGAAGGAACGGGACAGGAAAGAATTGGTGATCAAAGAGGTCTTCAGATTTATCTGTAACATATTTGGTTGAAATAAAATTGATATAATATTTATAATTATCAATTTGGAATGGGTTATTAGTTTTCTGTATTTTTTAAATTTCTCAAATTGAAATACACACACACAAATGATTCCAAGTAAAAACCACAGAGAACAATCCGTTTCTGTTCAGTTCAGTGCCCACACGGCTACAGTGCTGAGGTGAGCCTTGTGCATTCGGCCAGTGTGCCTACTTGGGGCGGATTCTGTTTGTATGTGGGGTTTATGATCTAGATCCCCAGAATGATAACTATCTTCATTTGAACTCATTCTCACACTTTGGCTTCTACAGAAAACCCCCGTCTACCTGCCACACTCAGTTCCCCTTGCTTTGAGGGGAACAGTGGATCCCAAATCTCAGTGAGCTGCCCTGAACTAGTTTTCTTCTTTTATTTATTTTATCCCATTGTTCCAAGTTTTCTCTAAAACTATACCAGGGCTTTCACGCGGAAAGTTCGGTTTCTACTTAACATATGTCCGTTCTCACCTTATCCCCACGAGTTGGCCCACGGAAAACCTCGCTCTGTGTGTTCAGCAGGTGCAGCGTGCCAAGCCTTGACACCCCACTCTTGGGAAGCAGCCTGCAGCTGAGGTCCCAACACACACACTCGGGAGCACATTCCAGGTGGCATGAGAGCTGTGGCTTGCAGAGCGCATACCGCTGCCCTGGAGTCGTAGAGGTTATTCCCGTGTCTTCCACAGGCGAGCTGTGCTGCCTGACACAATGCTCCTACTCTTTTCATCCTTGTTTTTCTTCTATAAAATGGATATAAAAATATATGCCCTTCGTACCCATGGGTTGTTGGGAGACCAAATGAGAATGTGAACATGAATGTGTTTGCAAACAAACATGAAAGATGTTTGTGTGTTATTTCTCCACTGTGTGAGCTGGCCCCTCCCAGATCCCCAACCCAACCACTCTGCTCAGTCTGCCCAACAGCCCTCCTGTGTTAGCCTCTTCTTTCCCTCCCATTCTTGGTCTATTCTGTGGTGTTCTGTTCCCCTACTCCGCCTCTTCCTTTTTTCTCTTTTCTTCCTCTCTCCAGTCCTGGAGGCAGCCTGACCTCCTCCTTTCAAACATGATGACCATGTACCACTGAACTGAGGCCTGTTGGCTGGTTCAGACTGACTGAGAAAAAGGACTTTCTTCCTTCCTCAAAGAGGTCAGATACCTGAGAGAACATGTTTTATCTCTTTGAATCTCCCAGGCTCAAGCCACAGGGTCCCCACGTACGTCTCCCACTCACGGAGGCGGCCGCCCAATGCCTATGCCAGTGCGCTCCACGTCAGCTGGCTCCACGCCCACCCACTGTCCACAGGATGCACTGAGCGGAGTTGGGGGAGATGTGCAGGAGGCCTTTGCACAAGGTGAGTTTCTGGATCAGAGTACATTGGGAGCTGAAGGGGCTTGGAAACATGTACAAGGTTCCTGCTGAGATTTTTCTAGCTTCTTTTCTTTTGTGCTCTTAGATTTAAATGATCAGATTTTCACACAGTATAAATAATAAGTCAAGTGCTGTCCCCTTCTCATAGATGAGCCGGTCTCAATGGGAGGTCTGCGGGCTTTGTGTATGTGGCAAGAACAGGCCTCCTGGGGTCCTGTGCCCTTTTTTCTGGGTTGTGGGAAGTACTTTGTCCTTTGGGCTTTGCCTGCTCCAGAGGAATTGGATGGAATAATTCCCAAAGTCACGTATTTGGCATAGAAGGTCTTTAGAACAAGCATAAGAAGAAAGGGTGGTACTCCAAACAGGACCTTGCTCAAGGCACAGTGAGCATGGGATTGCCACAGCTGTCTGAGGAGCTAGTGACCAGCAATGCTAAGTGGGGGTTAAGAAAGAAGTCTTGTTAGGGTTGGAGACAAGGAGGTGGGAGGTGTGCTGGAGAGGACAGTCCCACCTGAGGCTAAGGAACACCTTGGGGGGAATGCCTGTTCTGGAACCCAACTCTTCTCATTGTATGGTGGCTACAAAGCATGGAGTTGACAGGTCCTGCTCTTCAGGCCATGAGGCAGAGGGAGAGAGCACTGTGGACTTAGGTGCCTCGTGTTCCTGATGTGCCTGGGGGCAGGTGGAGCTGCCCCACCCCCTTAGGTCCACAGGCCTGGCAGAACTGAGGCATTTGCTGGGCCATCTCTCCTCCATGCCCACCCACCCCGGCATTGCCATCTGCTCTGACTCCCCTCAGGTACGAGGAGGAACCTCCGCAATGACCTGCTGGTGGCTGCTGACTCCATCACCAACACCATGTCATCCCTGGTGAAGGAGCTCCATTCAGGTGAAACCCAGAGCTCCCGCCCAGTCTCCCCTTCAGCACCTGCACCCTTCTCCCTTCCTCCCTACACCAGCAGAGCCTCACCACCTGGCACACCCCCTCATCTCACCACTCAGCTGTTACCTTCTAGGAGCACACTGGACATCTCCACCCCAGAGCCCTTCCCGCCCAGGATCGCATAGAGACGATGACGCGTTCAGGCTTGTCTTAAGAATGCTCTTACGGAGCAAACACATGCTGAATTTAAAGAAATCCAGCCCTTTAGGCACAGTCAGTCCCCCCACACACTCTGTCCTCCATCTGTGCTTTGTCCACAGCCGCTCTCTCCCCAGGCCTGACTGCCCAGCTCCTTGTGAAGCTTTCCTGGAGGTCTGGAACCGAATCAGCCACAAAAGCTTCAGGACTTTCTCCCAGCTGCCTTTCTGCTCTCTCCTATCTGATTTGGTTTTGAAACCCTACTCCCTCCTTTTGTCCGTGACTAGGCTCAGATTTCATTCGAAGTCGGTGACCCGAGTCTGTCGCCTCCGCTGTGCCTCATGTTCGGTCTCACCTGTGACTTCTTTCTCAGCCTCTCCATCACTCAGCCACTTCAGAGACTTCCCAGAGAACTTCACCTCATGGCATGTCACCTTACATAAAACCTAGGAAAGAGAGAGAAAATAAAAGACCATTCACGTATCATGATATCTCCAAGAATCCCTGTGACTCCATCAATTACATAGCTGCCAGATATTTACTAATATTTTACAGCGGGGGGATTTCCATGTTATGTATTAAACAAATGGTTTCCCTTCCTAAGCGCTGTAGTGCTTTTCAATACCTTGAAGTAGCTTAACAGGGTTATTACATAAAAATATAAAGCAGCTTTTCCATGGACCATTTATACACATATACTTATTCTAACATTCTTAGGGAAGGCAACCCTTGGGTGTTTTTTCAGACCTTTATAGGAGAGAGCATATGCCTTTAGGGTTGTCATGCCAAGGTCTAGCCCACAGCTTTGCTCTCAAGACTGCCTGTTTTCACATAGAAGAGAATGAGTGTGTGGCCTAAGTTGGTCTTTCCAGTTAAGGTAAGATGCTGATTCTCTTGCACAGGCAGCTTTATGGTGCCACTTCTCCATTCTGGTAGTTTCTCAACCCCCAACAGACACACAGCCCTGCTCCCCACACATAAACAGAAGAGGTTATGGCCTTCAGGGATGACTTCACAGGTGATTAGAAGGTCCCTTCCCCATATCTCCCTACTGATGCCAGAAATCCCACATTGAGGGAATTTCTTAGGGGATTTCTGGCCATGGAAATTAACTACATTTGTGCCTCATGGCCACTTAGTAGGGTTTATGCAAAATAAGTGGCTCATGAGCTCATCACACCAGGCTGAGCAGTAACTGGACATCATTAAACATAAGCACATAGAGACCAAACAGCTTCACAAAAATTAAAAGTTTATAGGGATACTCAGCAATCTCTCATAGTAGGAAAGGATTGTTTTAACAAAACTATAGAGTGTAATTTGTGAGGTATCTTAGAGATCACATTTTCCAGTCCCCTTAACTTTAGAAAGGTAGTGAGTAATTATTGGAAAAGCAATCTGCCTAAAGTCTTGCAGCTTGAAGGGGCAAGGCTGGTCCTAGAACTTAGGTCTTCAGAACAGTAAGCCAATGTTTTACCCCACGTAGGACGACATGTCAAACCCAGAGTCCCACAGAGGCCTCTTCCCCTGATGCTCTACTCTCCCAAGCACTGAATCCACACATGGCACAGTATCCCTATAAAATGCAGAAATAAACTCCCTTTACATGTGAGAGTGACCATTTCTTAATGAATGGAAGAGCCTTGCCCAACACCCACACCTTTTTACTATCTCCTTGAGAATATTAATAATTTTACAGGTTTTTTGTTAGGATGAGAGTAGATATTCAGATTATCTGTACATATATTCTCTATAGTATACACATACTATATATATCCGTAATTTGTCCTTCTCATCTTTTAAAAAACATTTTCACAAATGACAGAATCCTAGAATTAGAAAGGGTCTCAGAAGTCATCTATCCAACTTGCCATCCAATATAAAAGTCCTTTGTTTGAATATTTCCAGTGAGCTCATCCATGACTAAGTCTAATCACTGGAAAGTTCTTCCTTAATTGGGGGCCAAAATCTGGCTTTCTGTAACTGATTTATCCTTGTTCCCTCCTTGGAAGCTACCCAGAATAAGTTCAGTCCCTCCTCTGGGGGTTAGCCTTTTGAGTGTTTGATGGCAGATGACAGGGCTCTTCCAGTGTCTTGTCTTCTTTAGGCTCCTATACCCAATTCCTTTAGCCATTCTGAATGTGACGTGATTTTCACTTTACCATCCTGCTTGACCACACAGGATGTGGCCCAGTTTTCCAAGGCCCCAATTCTAAGCGCCCAGGGCTGAGCACACTGCTGTCTATCACAGGGGATCTCGTCCCTGCAGCGCCCAGAGCATCTGTGGCCCCTTATGTGGGCACCTGGGAAAGCACCTTAGATGGCATTAGCTTTTCCTACACAGCCACTTTGCACTGTGCAGTCATTTTAAGTTTGTCATCAGCTATAACCTCTGGATTTTTTTTTTCAGAAACCAGTGTTAATCTAGGTATTCCCCCACTATGTACTTTTACAGTTGCTTTCTTGAACCTGAATACAAGATAATAGATGTATCCCTGCTAGATGTCATCACCTTAGGGAAAACAGGGATAGAGTAGAGGCAAGCACCCCCCAAACTTCCACCATGGTCACCTGGAGCCAGCAGCAGTGGGCTCAGGGATTATGGGCTTCTCTATTCAACAGTGCTGGGGCGTGGACCACACAGGTGCAGACTGGGTGAGTTTGAGCACCCTTGGAGGCCTGCAGCCACAAGCCTTTAGATGGGGTTTCATCCCAAGCCTCAGAAGTTGCCCTCCTTCTATGCTTGTGCTGTGCCGAAGGGTCACTGGCCTCCTTGGACTTGTTTTCACAGCAGAGGAAGGTGCAGAGGAAGAAGAAGAGAAGATGCAGAATGGGAAAGAGAGAGGTAAAGGCAGCTCAGCAGTAGCCCTAGTTTGAATGGGGAGCAGAGCTGTGTAGCCCGGATGAAACCCCCGTTTATTTCTGCGTTCCTTCCTGCTGCCACCTTTCCCAAAGCTTTCAGACACCCAAGTTCCTTCTACCTGCTTCTCCCATATATGATGGTCAAGTCTTATCCTACCATTACAAGTGGTTCTGTCAATCAACAGAAGCTTCCTGATTTCCTGATACCGTGATAGATGTTTGGGATACAGGAAGTAGATACAGTAAAACACAAAACATGACCCCTTGCCTCAAGGAATTTATAATCTGGTTAGGAAAGCAAGACTAAGATATGCAAAATAAACAAGAGATAAAATGAAATGACAGAAAAAGTTAATCATAAAACTTTGAGTGTTTACTACAATAAGGGTTTCTGAAAAGGAAGAGATTATTGTGAGCTAGAATAGCCAAATGGTTTTATGGCTTCATTGAAGAATGAAAGAAAGGTGTCAGCAAAGGACAATAACGCCTTCCTAATTTCATTTTATATAAAACCTTTTAATATTTGTCACATGGGAAGAGCACGGAATGATATTCATGTATGATCCCATCTAATCCTTAAAAACACTGTGAGATAGAGCAGAATATTCCCATTTTACTGAAGAGGAAACAGGCTCAGAGAGATTTTGTTCATGTAGCTATTACATGGCAGAAGTTGGGCTTGAACTGGGTCTTTCTGACTCCAAACTTCATGCTCTTAATCTTCATCCTTCTGTTACACTGAACAGATAACAAAATTGTCTTCGGACGTTTGAGAGTTAGCTATTATTTCTGTCATTAATGTGTCTGTTGCTGGATTCCTTCACAGTGTAAGGTTCCCAAGGTGAAGATTTTAGTCCGTTTTGTTCATGTTGTATTCCCAGTGCCCAGAACGGTGCCTGGCACTTAGTAGGCTGTCAGTAAATGAACAAATGTAAGGAAATAAACAGGATGATGTGATAGAGAGCTCCCTATCAGGGAGAGGAATGGAGTTGTCACTCCAAGGAGATGAAAGTAAGGAGGAGGAGGAGGGGGCACGAGCCCTCACAGGTGCCTGCCTAATGCTAAGCACATAACACACCCTCTTCATCTGATTTCACAGCCCCCTGAGGGAAGAATTCGAGACGGGGTTTAGAGGGGTGAAATCACCTGCCAGGTAACAAATTGCAGAGCCTGGAGTTGGCCCAGGTATCTCTAGCTCCAACGCCCATGTGTTAGTCTGAGCAGAACTAGTAAACTAAGTGGAGTGGAAAGGTCGTAAGGAAGGGAGAAAGTTGATTGGGAGATGCAGGCGAGGATGCTGTGATGGAAAGAGAAGGTCCTTGGGTCTGCAGTGTTGCTGACCCAGAGCGGCTAGTGTGGATAACAGAGGGAGGTCTTTGGAGTCTCAGGGAGCAAGGAATTTGTCGGCAAGGGCACTGAAACCGCTGAGGAAGACACCGGGAGAAGAGGAAAAGCATCCTGCAGGTGCTGAACTCATCTAGTGAATCAGAGCCAGGCCTGGGGAAGGTGGACAGCAGCTGTGATGGATTGATGAGAATGACATACTTGGCACTGATATCAAAAGGTAAAACTGGAGAGCAGCAGTGTTGCAAACATCCAGAAATGCTACGTAGAAATGTAGAGATGACCGACGTCCCCGTGCAGACAGGAAAGAAGGCAGAAGGGCACGAGGTGAAGAGGAGATGCACAGAGATAAATTTACATTATTAAACACATGCTCCAAACACACGCACACAAGCGCACTCCAACCAAATCCCAGCATTCATGTGGAATGTTCTAGGTGAAGACGTAACAGCTGCTTCTTTGGCCTCCTCTCCCATGCATCCTCCTTTCCCCAGTAGCTTTGCCCATGCCTCTCCTAAGTCTCTCTCCACTCCCCAAAGCAAACCTAGGACTCTGCCTGTCACTTAGGCCTTAGCCCTGGCCCCAGTCTGAAAGTGGGCTGCACCTCACACATGAATTGGGTGTGGTTTCCCCTGCCAGGCACCTCCTGGCCCCAGGGGTACACCCAATTTGCCTGTCAACATCTCTTCTCTGTCTGTGCATCTTGCCCTTGGATCTCCTCTCTCTCTCAGTGCACATACCAGAGTTTGTGTGTGTCTACATGAAATATTTTTGTGCGAAAGCCTGAATTTTTATTTCTGTGGCTTTTTGGTGTCATCCCTAAGGGCAAGAATGTTAAGACTTGTGATGAGAGATAGTAGAGTTTAAAAAAAAGTGTCAACATTATATAGGTCCTAGAATATGTCCCTGAAGCTACAATGTAGCTCTTAGGTAGGTGTCATAGCAAGACCAAGTGTTTTTATGGGTGGACCTTCTGATTCTCTGCCATGATCTAGGCATAAAATTTTACTGTAGACTGACCTAGTAGTAACTACGGTCATCTGGGCATTAGAGATCAATTACTATCAAGCATAAAGAGAGAGGGAAAGAGAGAATATTTGTTTCTTTGGGATTGAAATCATGCTGACTTAATTTAAACACAACCTGGTCAGCACCTGGTCAGGCAAACATTGTCTGCTCAGTACAAAACCTGTGAGAGTCAAATGGGCACTTTTTAAGAATTCAGACCAAGCCAGACTTTCCAACCATATTCACTCCTACCTCATGCCTCTCCCTGTTCTACCCTGGCTCTGTCTGGCTGTGTCTTGGGGAATGCTTCTGCTCCACTGGGGAACCTTCCTCACCCTGAGTGTAACCAGGATGAAGGATAGACTAACACAACTTAATCCTCAGAGCCCTAAAGTCATCTCGGCTACTCCAAAGCCTCATTTATGCTCCTGTGTCCTTCAGAACCTCCTCTCCCAGGACCTGCCCATCCCCAGTGTTGGGAGCTGTAAATGCAGTTTGCACACTTACAGAACCCTGGTACGTGTCTGCACAGCAGCGGCCCTCTGTGAGAATAGACACAGGCTCTTGAGGGTCCAGGCAGTGTTGAGATTCCAGGGTGAGCTAGAGCATGACTTGGCATGCCGCAACAGACACATCTGCAGGAGGGAAAGACTGCCCCAATCAAAGGCTCCCTCATTTTCACTTGGTTAACTTTCAGAACCAGATGACTTTTGCCCTCCTAGGTAACTAACTGCTCCCTAGGTTTAAAGGGGCTTTGTTTCCACTTCATTATTATTATATCATTTTCCTTCTCTTTCTCCATCTCTGTCCCTGTGGCTGCTTTGTGGCAGTTGTAGATAGTATGACTCTACCCCATTATCATACCTGGTCGGGAAAAGTCAACATTCCAGTGACAAAGGGGAGAGGCAGGTCCAGAAGTCCCAGGAGTGGGTGGGTCAGGAAAGCCCCCTACAGGAAGGTCCAGGCGGTGAGAAGACCCTGGGTGTGACCTCGGTGTGTTGTTTCTGCCCGTGCTGCCACAGGTTAGCGGAGGAGCCCAGACAAAGAGGAAGCTTGGGTGAGTACACAGCGTGTCCCCACCCTTCCCCAGCCCTCTCCCTTCTTACTTAGCATCTTCAATTCCCGTCAGTCATGGGTCCCAAGCCAGGGCGATCTGAACAGGTGGGGATGCAATTAGGATTCTCTTCACAGAGCCCACCGCACCTTCCCCTCTGCCCCAGCCCGCCAGCCTGCCCGCCTTGCCCTGCTTCCCGGCCAGGGCCATTCTGCCCTGCACTGTCTGTGGCAATGGCTTGGTGTCCCCTGTGTCGGTGTGGCATTGGCAGACCTGACACTGCTGGCTGAACACAGCCACCTCCTGGGCTGCTCTGCCTCCTGTGCTCCTCTCCCTCAGCCAGCGCACCTCTGGATTCTGTCGCCCAGCGCAGCACCCTGTCCTAGTCCCTGGCCCACAGACGCATTTGAGTCATGCAGGATCACAGTGACTACAAAGCTGACCCCCAGGCATGGGGCCTAGCCAGGCACCTTCTCACTTCCTAAAGAACAAATGAATAAAAGTACCCATTTTAGGAATTAGTCATTCCCATTTTTCCATCTCAAGACCTTAACTCTTTCCAGTCCCAGCTCCAAGATACTGCAACTTCTGGGTCAGCTCCCTAAAAGGAAGGGACAAAAGTAACTGGATGATCACTCAGTTCATGACATTTCCTTTAAGTATAGATTCCTTTGGTGCAGCCATGAGGCTTCTCTTCATTTTTATATCTTTTCTTCCTTCCCCTCCCCCACTTATTTTTAAAAATTAGGCGGCAGCTTCAAGGTGAAAAAAAAAAAAAAACCAGGGCCACAGCCCCACTATCCAGAAAAGGAACTTTCTCCAGCCCTTCCAAGTAGTGTCATCCCAGAACAGCCTCCAGGCCCTCCCCCAGCCTGCCCCTCCCCTCTGCTTGCTCCCGCCGGACCTCCCTGCAGTAGCCTGTGCTGACTTGGGATTGTGCAAGCTGCTGGGTAGGCAGCACCTGGGCAACACACGTTCCCTGGAAATCACAGAGCCTCAGGGGCTTGGAGAGAGGCTGCTCCCTAAACTCACTGTGCACATTCAGGCAAGGCCCCTCCCCACAGCAAGCCTAGACCGCTGCAGCCAACTAGGGAGATCAAGAACTGACACGCCCTGCAGGAGCCCCTCTCTCTCCCTGGAGCAGAGAGGAGCTGGGGTGTAAGGGAAGGTGTCAGAGCCATCTGAACCCCCCACCCCACAACCTAAGGCCCATACCCGGGAGCTTGGTGCCAGGACTGGGATCAGCTGAGTCTTCTACCTCCTAATTCTGTCCTCTGACCCACAGTCAGGCGTATGAGAAACCAAGAGTCAAGAGTCACATGAAAAGCATAAGAACTCAGATGCCTCAGTTTCATGGACTTTCCATTCTGCTCTCTGCTGGCCTGAGGCTAAGTAAGGCTTCCTACGGGTCCTGTCAGTATTTATAGGCACATCCGGGTCCTCTTTGCCCTTCTCCTGGGCCACAATTCTTCTTCCCAAGAAACCACCACATTCCAGACCTTGCATTTCAAACATCATTCTGTTCATTCGTCCATGGAAACATTTCCTGACCTAGTGACCTAAACAGTGACTGAAGGAGACTGTAAGTACAATGGGGAAGAGAAGATGCCCCTTCACCCCCACACTTGAAAGGTGCTGAGCATCCTAGCAGCCCCGTTCTTGCAGATCCTCTAGTTCACAGCAGATGTTTAGAGGCGTTTGCCCTGAACCCTCAGCAGTGCCCGTGACTAACGTGCGTCTGTCTTGCACAGGCACAGAGGACGAGGAGCAAGCTGGCACCAACCTGATGAAGGCAAGGTCTTCCCCCAGAGGCACATTCCTATCCATCCTTCCACTGCACACCTGGACCAGGCATGCAGGCTGCCAGACGTCACTCCACCCGCCAGGGAGAGGGGAGCCAGAGCGGTGGGAAGGTGGGGGACTGCGAAGCGCAGCTGGTGGGCCTTCCCCTATAGTCCTGCATGTACTAGCATCTCCATCACTCCCCTCAGGGCATGGTCTCACTTGTGCATCAGGAGCTTACCAGGAGGTTGAAAAGAAAAGAAAAAGCACTATGCTCTTGTGTGTTTGTGACCTGATGGATCTCTTCCTGGCTTCTGGCCAGCACGTGGGGTGCGCCCTAGCATGGGGGCACGTTTGCTCCTTACCTTTGACCTTTAAAAACCAACAGGTTTCTACTATCGTGCAAAGAAGCGTCAGGCCTTGCTCAGTTCTATAGACTTTCACACCCTGGCCACAGTGCTAAAAATAGCCACACACTGGTTAGGCTTCCGCCCTCCGGGAGATGCAGCCGCTGCTCTGCAGCCCGGGAGGGAGGGGCGGCCGGCGGCTTCCTCCGCGGGAGGCGGGTCGGCGGTGGGGAGGGGGGGCGGCGGAGCGGGGCGGCCCGGCCGGGCACGGTGCCTGGGGCCGCCAGGGGGCGCTGCTCTCGCCGCTTCTCCCCCAGGGGTTCCGTTAGGCTCAGGCACACGTGATCATCGAGTCCGATTCCCGGTGATTTTCGTTTATTTTTTTCTCCTCTCTAGGCTCCAGGATGTTATTTTTAGTAGAAGAACTGCTATAAATATTTATAAAGGGCAGTGACTGAAATGAAGCGAGAGGCCCCACAGCTGGCTCTCCATCACCCCCCCCACCCACCTCTGCCGACCCCTGCCCTCTGCTCGGAGGAGGCCTGTGCAGAGCCCGTGAGCGCGCCCCGCCCCGCGGCCGCGCTTGAGTGCAGTCCCTCGGAGACCTGGGAAAGCAGCGGTCGGGGTGAAACGAGGGGTGGAGCTAAGTCTTCCCACCCTTTCCTCTCCACCCGTCTCTTGGCCCTGTTACTCCCAGTCCTAAAGGAGGTCAAGGCTGGTGGGGTGGATGTGCCCGTGCCCTGTTGGGCCCTAGGCCCTCAGCGTCCTAAGTGCTAGGTGTGAGGGGCAGGTGCAGCTTGGATGGCTCCAGCAGTGTGAGGGCAAAAAGGAAAATGGGAGACCAGCTGGCTCAGGTGTGGAGGAGAACACTTACCCTCCGAGCCTCGGGAGAAAGCCCTGCCCAGCTCGAGCCTGCCCCAGCCCGCACTGTGACCAGGCAGTGAGTTGAGGCCCTGGAGAGCGAGTGGGGGCTCCCACACACTCAGGAGACAGGAATCCCTGCTTGCCTGGAGGGGCCAGAGAGGGTGAGGGTGAATGTGACCATATGGAAACTTCCGGGGACACAGTGCTAACCGATGGTAAGATCAGGTAATGGGGGGGGTACAACAGGTCTCAGAGTGACACTGGTGATCCTGTGTTCCCCCAATCCTGCCTTCCCACACTTTATACACTATCTCCTGAGGACAAGGCAGAATCCCACCTCTCCGTTGCTCACATGAGCTTCTTGCCTCTTCCAGGGTAGAAAGAGGCAAGGGAACAGACTAAAAGCACCAGTGGCTCCCAAGCAGCCGCATGCTCGGGCCAGCTGAGGTGCTCAAGGCATGTGGGCACTGGGCCCTAGGCCCGGCGCCTGGCCCTGCAGCCTGGGTTCGGCAGGTGTTCTTGCTTGAAGGAGGAACGTTAACTTCACCCACAGGAAAGATGCAGAGCCCTGGCCTCTCACTGTTCACCAGCACCTGGAGGGTAGTAAGAAGGGGTTGGAGAGGGCCACAATGGTGGGCTCTGATGCCAGCATTTGGGTACGTGGTGTGTTCCATTGTTGTGTAAGTTCTTGCTGACGGTTGGTTTCTTTTAGAGCTAGGCTATCCACTATTATCTAAGGCTTCTGAGGTGCCTTGTGACTTGTTGACGTCTGTTTTAGGACCCAGATGTTTGAAGGTGAGTCCCTTTCCTCAACCCTGACCTGCAGTGCAGGTGGTCATCTGATACTGGGCACTTCCTTCTTAATTGCTCTGTGGCCATTTAGGAACCTACTTTAACCTAGGTAGATGATTTTTTGAGAGACATATACTGACAGTGTTGCTGGTGCCTGGGTGAGCCAGGCTGCCATGCGGCACCATAGTCTGGGCTGGTGCTATTTGTAGCATTAAAGACCTTTGGGGTGGTACCAAAGGCAACCTGGGTCCTGAGGAAGCAGCAGGCATAAATCTCAGCTATAAATCCCTTCCTCTGGGCCATAAATCCCAGCCATCCTGAGCTTCCATTTACCGTCACAGCCCCTCATCTGCTGGTCGTGCTTTATCCACTGGCAGGCTCTCCTCATCTGCATTGCTTACTCCCTGCTCCTGTAGTCCATGACAGCTTTAGAAAGGTACAGTTGCTATGGCAATACCTAGAGCCATCAGAATTCCTCCTGCCCTTCTAGAAGAAAATTGCTCATGGAGAGGCATTCAGTGGATTCCAAATCTAGCCTCTGCCCTCTGCAGCATCAGAGGTCAGATGATGGGCTACGTGCTGGAAGTGTGGGAGGCAGGTAGCCTGTCTGCCTTGGGAAAACACTCTCTGTAGCTACAGACTGCATGCACCTGGGCAGATCAGAAAACTAAATGAGGTGTCCTACTTGGGTTTCTTAGGTAATACTATACTAGTGGTTCCTGAGGAACACTCAGTCTGGGTCCTGGGTCTGCAGCCTCCGCAAGCACTCCCCAGGGCTCTTCCGAGCCCCAGGCCATGCGCTTCCCCTCAGAGCAGGCCCCAAGGCTCCTTCCTCTCCACCAAAGCCAACAGCCAGTAGGTGTGGATGAGAAGCCCGCCCGTCCTTTGCTGGCTGAGGAGCCTGCCCTCCCTGGCCCCTTGGCCTTCCGAGTATTACCTCTCTGGGGGCTCCCCAATGGGTTGATCTTTTAGAAGCAGGAAATGCCTCTGGGGCTGCTGAGAAGAAAGCGGTGAGGCCAAGGAGGCAGCCAGGAGGCAGGGCGGCAGAGGAGGAGCTCTGGCCAAGGGGCAGGAGCCAGGCTCAGATGGCGCCAAGGGAGTCTGCTGGGAGCTACTGCAGAGACGGCCCTCGCTGTCTTCTGGACCAGCTCCTGGGGTGGGTCAGGGTGGAGACAGTGGGGTGAGGGTTAATAAGAAGGTGTCCAGGCTTGGGTGGGACCCAGTACCCTCCTCTGTGGGTTCCTTTTTTATCTCCTGACTGCTGGTTGGTGTTTGCCCTACTTTCCCCATTGCCTAGGCAACCATCCTGGGTTCACCCCTTGCCACCCAGCCTACCCTGGGAGCCCAGAGCCCAGCTCTTCCCCCTCTCTCAGAGGAGAACAAAGAAACAAGGAGTGCAGAGAACAGCAGGGTGAAGTGAGGGACACGGGGGCTGGAGATCCAGGGAGAGAGGAAAGGGAGTGAGGGCGAACAGGACATGGAGAGAGGCAGAGCTGAAGGCCAGGAGGGTGAGCCATGCACCTGGGGATAGTGGCTGGACTGCAGGTGTGAGACCAGGGAAAGGCGGGAGAGGACTCAAGGAAGAGCCGAGGAGGGGGAGAGCCGCCAAGGAGGCAGAGTTGAGGTAGATTCTCCCTAGTCCTGTGCCCTAGGCTTGTGGTAATTAATTCCTTTGTCCTGTTGTTGCCACAGCTCATTAGCTCTGGATTCTACCCTAATTAGATCCCCACTTGCTTTCCTCCAGGATATCCCAATTAGCAAGGGCTAGGGACAGGGCTGCATGGGCCCTTCTCCTGGGCTCCGTCACCCCAGCCCGGCCCTTGCCCCAGGTGCAGGTTTGGCCCCCCCTGGCTACCTTGTCCACCCCAGAAGCCTCTTATCTCCCAGCCTGCCTGCTCTCCTCACCCCTCCCTCACCCCAGCCCAGTTTATGGTGTCCAGCTGCAGCCTTAGAGGGGCCAGGGAATTTCCCTGGGCTTGTCTGGCTCAAGGAGTCCAGCTTATCTGCTGCCTCCAGCCATCACCAGAGGAATTAGATTGGGGTCATCAGGGGGCCTCAGGAGCCAAACTCTGCACCCTGGGGTTTAAAGCCAGGGTGGGGCTGGGAGAGGCCCTTGTTTAACTGTTTACTGAGGCCCCTATACTGACCTGTGCACAGTCCCCTCACCCAGCTCCTAACTGGTCTTTTTCTGCCCCCATTTTATGATAGAGATTGGGTCTTTATTCTCCTGCATGTTCTGTTAAGGAGAGAGCTCCCTGGACAAGGTCACCCTCTAGCTGTGTTGTACATACTCGGGCACACCCAAGACAGGAACTCACTTCCAGCGGGACCTGGGGCAACTTAAGAAGCTCAGAAACCACAGGCAGCCCCAAGCCCCTAGAACTGCAGAGCAGGCACTGTAGAGAGGTAGAAAAGAAGAAAATAGAACTCCCCCTGGAGAAGCCAGTGAACAGAGCTGCTTCAAGACATCTAGGAGGGAATACATGAAGGAAAAGACTAGAACAGAACAAACCAAACAGCAAGATAATTACACACAAGATCAATTGTAGCTGTTCTGTAAGATGTGTGTACACGGGGTTGCTGAAGTCACTGGCTACCAGAAACAGGTGGGTTTCTTCAAGAGGGCTTTCCTCTAAAGGGAAGGGAAGAGCACATGTTAAGTGCCTACTATGCGCCAGGTGTGCTTACATATGTGATCTTATTTGATGTCGTCTACTCGACAAAGCTGCGATGTAGGTATTATCAACTCCCAGAGGAACAAGGCTCAGAGGTCAAGTACCTTCACATAGTTAGGAAGTGACAGGCCCCATCTGTCTGCTTGACACTGCTGTTCCTCCATTTCCCACGATGTCATCTTGTTAATGTGATAGAATTTCAGCAAAATTCCAAGGAAGAGGAAGAATATTCCAGGTTTGGGGGAGGAGAGCAGGGAGATGGCTCGAGGGAAGAAGTGGAGTGTTGAGTCAGCCGGCTTAATGGGAACCTGGTCGGCCCACTTTGAAAACCACAGTGGAGAAATAATCACCCAGATTTGCTGATAGTATTTTTTTAAATCTTAAAACATCCTGGGGCTCCTCATCCTCCACCCTGGCTTTGCAGGGCAGGATTAGAGGTCTTTGAGGGCCCTGCTCCTCAGACAGATTGCCCAGCCCACCTGTCACTTCCAGCCCTGATGAAGGCCTCACACTAACTAGGCTTGCTCGGCTCTGCCGACACCCCCAGGTGGGAGAACCTCCCTCCCAACCCCAGACA